GGAAAGAGCTGGCTGCGTTCCCTTCCGTTTCTCTGCTCCCCCGCCACCCCAGCCAAGGGTCTCCCCCATTGCCACCACTAGACCCCTAACCGTGGGTGGGTCCCGCTGGCTGTAGGAACTCCTCCCCTCCCCCAGCCGCCCCTCAGGGATGCCGGTCCGGGAGGTCTGGCTTTTACTTTTGCTCCCCCTTCCCTCCCTCCCACTCCCTCAGGACCCGCGGCTGGAGGGGGCCTTGGTTGGCAGAGGATCAGGCCCGGGATCTCAGCAGGCTCCCGGGGGCCCAAGTGGGCAGGGGAAACCTGTCCACACTCCCTTTTGATCCTCTGCCCTCCCAGTGGTCCCCCAATTTCCCTCTTCGGGCCTGGGATCCCTTCGCGTCCCCCAGCCGCCCCTCAGGGGCGCCAGTCCCGTCCCGCCTCCGCTTCTCCTCCCCCCTCACTCCCCCCTGCACCCCACGTCCTACCTGGTCACTGTGGATTCCTCCTGACCCCTTAGGTGTCCGTGGTCCCCCACCGGTGCCTGGCAGGTGCCCTAGTTGTGCGGAGATGCGAATTCTGCATCCTCCTAGTCTGCCATCTTGACTCCACCATCCTCTGCATTTTGGAGAGCCCTCAGAACTCATTTGGGAGGCTCGTTTCTATTTCTGCCACTCCTTTGGGACTCTCATCCAGTTTCATGGGTTTACATATAAGCCGATGAATACCACAGAAGTGTCTCCAGTCTAGACCTCTCTCCTGAACCCAGATTCCTGTCACATTCATCTCCTCAACATCTCTACTTAGATGTCTAAGAGGCATCTCCAATTTAACATGTTCAAAATCAACCCCCTGATCTTCCCCTAAGAAACCACTCTTTCACAGTGTTCCTGTCTTGGTTGACGGTAACTCTGTCCTTCTAACTTATCATCAGAACAAAAGCCCTGGAGTCATTCTTGACTCCTCCATTGCTCTCCTAAACAAATTCAATCTGTCAGCAAACTCTCAGACTGAACCTTCAAAACATTTCCAGAATCTGACCACTTTCACCATTTCTACTGCTGCAACCCTGGTCTAAGCCACTACTGCTAGTGCTGAGATTAGTACCATAGCCTCCTAACGAGCCTCCCTGCTCCCACCCCTACCTCCCAACCCGTCTGTCCTCAACGCAGCATTAAAATGTTAGATCACGTCAGCCCGCTGCTCAAAACCTGCCAGGGGCCTATAGTATCTCTCAGAGAAGACAAAGTCCATGTAATGGGGCACAAGGGTCTTTACAATATATCCTCCTCCCCTGTATTCTTAGCTCTTTTCCCCCTCCTTTACTCTGCTCCGTTCACACCAGCTTCCTTGCTGTTCCTCAAACGTGGCAGGTGTGGTTGTGCTTCAGTGCTGAGCAAGTCTTTCCTCTTGGCCTAGAATGCTCTTCCCGCATTTATCCTCACGGATCATTCCTTCATCTCCTTCAAATGTTTACTCAAATGTCACCTTTTCATTAAGGGCCTCCCTGACCACACTATTTAGATTTTCCTCCCCACTCTACTCTCCTAAGGTCTCATTCACTTCCTTCAATTTCTCTCCAGCACTCGTCTCCTTCTAATATACATATACATTACTTATCCATTTATTGTTGTTCTCCCACTGGTATTCACATACCAGCATGAGCATGGGGATTCCTGTTTTGTTGACTGCACTATCCCCAGTGTCAAAAACAATACCTGGTAAATAGTTAGAGCTTACTTAATATCTGTGGAATGAATGAATGAGTTACTTCATCGCTCATCATACACTCAAGCGTCACAGAGATGGGAACCATATCTTTGTCATGACTGACCGACTAAGGGGAAGAAGTAAGAATAGGTATGCAGTTCAATTGAAGGACTTAAGGCAGGCAATGGATTTAATTATTCTTTCCATTTTTTAACTGAAATACTTTTTCTCCTCAAATAAATTATATCTTCTGTTGCCAGACAGGGTTAACTGTCTGTTCTTCCTTTGTTAACTTTTCGCTCGGTCAAGAAAAGAGCAAAGATTACAATAGGCAGAGTGTGCAACAAAAACTATAGTTATTAAAACCACACTTATCGGGACTTCCCTGGTGGTCCAGTGGTAAAGAATCCACCTTGCAATGCAGGGGATGCGGGTTCAATCCCTGGTCCGGACACTAGGATCCCACGTGCCATGAGGCAGCTAGGCCGGTGTGCCACAACTACTGAGCTCGCGTGCCCCTAACTAGAGAGCCTGCGTGCAGCAAACTACAGAGCCCACGCACTCTGGAACCCGCACGCTACAACTACAGAGCCCATGAGCCCTGGAGCCTGTGTGCCACAACTAGAGAAGAGAAAACCTGCATGCCACAAATAGAAAAAAGCCCGCACACCTCAACAACGAGCCTGCACACCACAGTGAATGATCCTGTGTGCCGCAACTAAGACCCAACACAGTCGAAATTAAAAAAAAAAAAAAAAAAAAAAACACTTACCAACAGGCCAAAAATCAAAAAAAAAGAGGAAAAAATCACTACAGGCCACAAATCAAAAATAAAGAGGAAATTCAAACCTTGAGAATACAAACATAGTTGTTCAATTCTTTAATGAGATTTTTCCTTTCCAGAGAAAGGGTACAGAAACAGATATGACTCAGAGGGAAGGAAAAATCAACAGATGTGTTGGTTTAATTGTATGGTTTCTAAAATACACTCCCCAAATGAGGGAGAAATTTGACCCTTCTGATAAGACCTTAGGTTTTTTATTAGATAAAGAGCACTTCCTATTCACCTTTGAATGTATTTCTAGAGGAAATTTCAATGCTTGGAGAATTCCAGCAACTTGTTCCCCGAAAATGACAAGTTCACATTTTAATCTTTTTAACGTATTTATATAAAACCTTATTTATTTCACGTGAAAATGTAAAGAGGAAGTTGACTATGAAGCCAAAAACCCACGTTCTTTTCTCAGAACACATGCACTCGGAAACTTTTCTGCCCCCTTGCAGCCCTCTCAGAGGAGGACCGAGGACAGTCACAAAGGCTAGCGGGTGGAGAGGTCCACAACCACCACTGCTAGGGAA